GAGACTCCTCTTTCCCATTGACTGGATCTGGCATCCTTGTCAACAAGGAGTTGACATAGAAGGGTGGGTATGTTTAGCTCGGGCTTCCTCCTCCATTCCTTGTTCCACATGCCTCTGGTTACACCAGGACGAGTCTGTTTGCATTAGTGCATAACAAGTTTTAGATCAAAACGAGTGAGTTCTCCTGCTTAGTTCTTCAAAATTGCTTCAGCGATTGGCCGCCTCTTGCCATTCCATACAAATTAAGGATTAGTTTTTCCAAATCTGTATAGAAGGCTGCTAGAATTTTGGTTGGTATTGTGTGTTAGTCTTGGTACTTTAGAGAAACAAATCCACAGAAACTCATATGTATAAGAGAGAGTTTTACATAAAGGGTAAGTATGCATCAAGAAAATATCCCAACCCAGTGCTGCCCAAGTCCAACATTAACCCATATATCTGACACCAATCCACAAAGTCCACCTCCTCCTCACAAAGCACACGCAATGACGCCGACTGCAGGAGGAAAGCCGAGTCAGTGAATGTGTAAGCATCTCAGTGCTGGCGGGGATCTCCACACAGCTGCTCCAGCACCCAGGGCTGCATCGGGGTAGGTCCATGTGGCTTCTCCTCAGGGATGTATTGCAGGAAGTGAGCCTTGCCAGCTGAATCAGAGAACTGGCTAAGGCAGCTGCAACCTGGTCTTCCTCTTTCCTCTGCCACTCCTGTTATCATCCAATGGGCACATGAACAAAGTGGACATGGTGGCAGGGATGGAGGTTATGCATGGGCACAACAACATGGACTTCTACTCACCAAGGCTGACTTGGCCACTGCCACTGCTGAATGCCCCATTTGCCAGCAGCAGAAACCAACATTAAGTCCAAGATATGGGACCATTCCTTGGGGGATCAACTGGCAACTTGGAGACAGGTTGATTACATAGGACCACTTCCGTCATGGAGGGGACAGCGTTTTGTTCTTACTGGAATAGACACCTACTCTGGATATGGATTTGCCTTTCCTGCATGCAATGCTTCTGCCAAAACTACTATTCGTGGACTTACAGAATGCCTCATCCACCGGCATGGCATCCCACATAACATTGCTTCAGATCAAGGAACTCACTTCACAGCAAATGCAGTGCGGCGATGAGCCCATTCCCATGGAATCCACTGGTCATATCATGTTCCTCATCATCCTGAAGCTGCTGGCTTGATAGAACGATGGAATGGGCTCCTAAAGACACAATTTCGGTGCCAACTAGGTGGCAACAACTTGTGGGACTTGGGCAGTGTTCTCCAGGAAGCTGTATCTGCTCTAAACCAGCGGCCAATATATGGTGCTGTGTCTCCAATAGCCAGAATTCATGGGTCCAGGAACCAAGGGGTGGAAGCTGCAATGGCACCACTCACTATTACTCCTAGTGATCCACTTGCAGCATTTTTGCTTCCTGTCCCAGCAACCCTGTGTTCCTCAGGCCTGGAGGTCTTGGTCCCAAAGGAAGGAACTCTCCCACCCGGAAACACAGCACGGATTCCACTGAACTGGCAGCTGAGGATGCCCCCTGACCACTTTGGGCTTCTCATGCCTTTAGATCAACAGGTCAGGAAGGGTGTCACTGTACTAAGTGGTGTGATTGATCCTGATTACCAAGGAGAAATTGGACTGGTGCTACATAATGGAGGTAAAGAAGAATATGTCTGGAATCCAGGAGATCCCATAGGCCGACTCTTAGCGTTCCCATGCCCTGTGATTAAAGTAAGTGGTAACTTACAGCAACCCAATCCTGACAGGACTTATAATGACCCCGACCGCTCAGGAATGAAGGTCTGGGTCACCCCACCAGGAAAAACACCACAGCCAACTGAGGTGCTTGCTGAGGGCAAAGGTAATACAGAATGGGTAGTAGAAGGTAGTTCTACCTATTGGTTATGAACACAGATTGCATTGAATCAGTAGGTCGCTTTGGGTAGTATTAACATCGCAACAATGATTGGGCCTTGGAACCAGTGAGCACGGAACATCTTCCATTTACTGAAGTCTGTACTCTCTTCCAGCAGTGTTTTCATGGACTGTCTTTCAGATCCCTGGTGAAGTTTATTCCTAGATGTTTCGTTCCCTCCCTTAGGTGCTGTTGTGAATGGAATGGTTTTCCTAATGGCCCTTTCAAACGTCTCATTACGTGTGTATAGAGACTTTGGTTTGGACATCAAGGTAATGATTGACTTTATAGAATGAGTTTAAGCAACAAATAGCCTCATGTCAATGATTTTTTGTTGTTGTTGACCTTGTACCCACTGCTAAATTTCTCTAGTAGAGCGTTTTCCATATATATGATCTCTTAATTTTTCTTCCCTGTGAAGAGAGAAAATTTTGTTCTCTTCTGCTTTGAATACTTTGAATGCTTTTTTTCCCCCTTGCCTTATTGTCTGACGAGTACTTCAGGACAACAGTCAATAGGAATGGCAAAAACAGGCAACCTTGTCTTGTTCCTGCTTTTAAGGGGAAAGCTTGCAGACAGTCTGTCTCCATGATGTGCAATATTCTGTTGGTGTTTTTTTTGTTGTTTTTTTTTTTTTGCATAAATGGCTTTAATCAATCTTCCTTTCCATCCCTATCTTATTAAGGGTCTTTATCAAGGGTGCGTGTTGGATTTTATTGAAGGCCCTTGTCCTCAGTAGAGATGCTCACGTGCTCTTCTGCTTTGTTTCATTCCTCTAATGCATCCCACGGATTTTCTAACGTCGGCCCATCCTTGCATTCCTGGAACAAATCCCCTTTGGTCTCTAGACTACTGGATTCTGTTTGCTAGCATGTATTTTGTCGCGGCTTTTCGCCTCTCTGTTCACAAAGATACTGGTCTGTAGTTTACTTGCGGTGCCTTTAGTTTCGGTATCAAGGTGATACTGACTTTATCCAGAGAGTTAGGCAAATAACATTTTAGTAGTTTTGTGAAAGTTACTTTGACCTAAGGGATCTTTTGAAACGCTCTCTGGGGCCCACAGACCACACTTTGAGGACTCTTGGTGTTCCGCATACCAGGTGCTTCCAATCCTGACAATAGTAAGCTAGCTGCTGTTGGGTCGGTTCCACTTTGACACGATCGCATGTGTCTGTGTCGCCCAGTAAAACGTCCTTCCTTTTGTCCTTCAGAAATGTGACCTTTCAGAAGCACGTCGCCTTTCTTCCGAGGCACTTCTGGGGAGCTGCAATCACAGGCCTTTCAGTTAATGATTGAGTCTTTGGCCATTTGTGCCACTTAGGGGAACCGGTAAAACATGGTAGGCATCCAGTCCTTGCTGAATGAATGAGCCAAGTACCTCTTTGTGAACATCGCCGTGTGCCCAGAATGCTGGAGCAGAGAAGGAAGGCGAAGGCAGGCAGGCAAGAGGCGCCGGGGCAGGGCCTATTCTCAGGCCCATCTCCCAGCCAGGTCCTGGGGACTCAGATTGGCTCCGTCCTACGTGCATAGAGCCCTCAGCCAAATGTGGGAGATGGGCAGTCAGTAGCTCAGACGCCAGGTGGGGGGACAGGGGCCACTTCTGAGCTGAGGCTTGAGTCATGAGAAGGAACCAACCTAGGAAAGGCCTGGAAGAACATGGTGCCAGGCAGAGGGAACAGCCTGAGCGCACGGTGAGTGGGCAGGAACACAACGGGTTGGCGGACAGCGGAGGGGGATGGTGGGGATGAGGCTGGCATGGGAACCAGTGGCTAGGTCAAGACAGAGTCCGATGTTTAGAACATACTGGACACTGTTGAGCGGAGGATTCTTCTGTGGACATGAGCTGGACTGGGACCTGGGAGAGGAAGAAGATTCTGGATCTTACATTCCTTCAAAAACTGCAGTGCTGTGGGTTGGCGCGCACACACGGGCACTGCCCTTTCAGAGCTGCCCTGCAGAAGGACAGTGGGGACGTGGGGCAAGGTGGCAGGCAGGTCAGCAGAAGCCAGGGAGAGACGGGGACGAGGTGACTTCTTGGCTGGGATGCTTGTTGGTGTCTCTCGTGAGCCCAAGGTGGAGTTGCCCGGTGGGACCCACCGTGCCCCACACTGGTGAGTGGCAATAAGAATGAACTAATTAGGGCTTGAGGAATCAAGAGGAAACTGGCTATGCTAAAAGACTTTCATTAGGGCTCAATTAACAGGCTCCTGGCCCTGGGCTGCTTGAGACCGAAGCTTCTCCAAGCCCTGGATCTGACCTGGAATGCAGGGCACTCAGGGAGGGCCCATCACTCCCTGGCACATACTACACACCCACCTTCTCTTGCCGCCAGGCCCTGTCTCGATTCCTGAAATCTGGCCTAGTTATCTGTGCCGCCTTCCCTGGGTCCATCCCCCAGCCAAGCGGAGGCGGCTCTGTGGCAGTTCTCACCGGGAGGTTGAGACGGTTGCTTTGGGAAGTGGTTCGGAGAGTGATGGTGGTCATCACCCTGACCGTGAACGCCGAGGCTGGGGTCTGACCGTCCCACAGCACTGTGGGCGAGCTGCCCGCTTAGGTTCCAGACCCAGCTCCTCTGGTAAAACAAGAGTAATAATAGTCCCCACCTCACAGACCTGCAGTGGCTGGTGTGAAGTCTTTCTGTCTGCTATTGTGAAGTGCTGGCGGGTCAGGGGTCACCCAAGCACAACAGAAGGAAACGCTGTCCGGTCCTGCGCCATCCTCACCAGGGTCTTTCCGGTTGGCCACTGTGCCCATCCATCTTCCTTCCAAGTCAGCGACCCTAGAGGCCTGGGTCGAACTGCCCAGTGAGGTTTCCAAAGTGGTCAATGTTTCCTGGAGCCCCCTGTCACATCTGGCTTGCCCAGCGTGGCGAGTGGGTCTTGGGGCTACTCTTTGGTGGGCAGCTGAGCCAACGGAGGAATGCCCTGGCTGTTAAGAAGGTCTTAATGTCCCATCGACCCCTCAGCAGTCCTGGAAGCTCCTTTCCTGGAGGGTCTCATGGTGCAGAGGTGACCCTGCAGGGCTGCACCCCCCTCTTGGAGAGGTGCCCACTCCTCACACTGTCCTTCTGTCCCAGATGCTGACCTGACGTTTGACCAGACGGCCTGGGGGGACAGCGGCGTGTATTACTGCTCTGTGGTCTCCGCCCAGGACCTGAAAGGAAACAATGAGGCCTATGCAGAGCTCATTGTCCTGGGTGAGTGTGGGGGCGCTGTGCCCAGGAGGGAGGGAGAGATGGGCTGCTGCTTCCTTGCCTGCCTTCTGCCTCCCTGCTGCTGGCTCTCCGGGGCTTCTGTCGCCTGCTTTGCACCTGCCCCCAAAGAGCACTACCAGTCACTTGGATTTAATTGCGTCCTACACCCTCCCTCAACATTTCAAATCCGCCCGAGACGCACTCAGAGGGGAGACATTCTCTCTCTCCCCAGTCTCAGAGAAATACAGAGGTGGCCAGAGCTGACTGGCAACAAGGGAGGTAGGGATGGCGTTGGTGAACCGGAGGAGGCTGGGCCTACCCTCTGCCCCATCCCCAGGGCCATGCATGACCTCAGAGCCCCTGGCCACAGCTTAGGGACTCTGCATTCTGCTCTGTTGGGACAGCACTGTGGCTTAGATCGATAGAGTGCTTCCCTCACATGGGGCCGACTTTGGATGCCCACGGGGAGAGGGGCGTGTGGGCTGGTGGCCCCTGCCCTGCCCGGGACGCAGGCCCTATGCAGAGAGGAGGGCTTGCTGCCGACACATATAGTCTCGCATTTTGTGGCCTATATGTGAGCCTGCTGCCCACTGCATGCGTGGTGGGCGGAGCTGCGCATGCACCGAGGTCGCTGGTGAAAGGTACAGCCGCCATCAACGTCCCCAAACTGCAGGCTCAGGGCCTCTAGGTCAGGGTAGAACCGCCCCCGTGGGTTTCTGAGACAGAGACTAACCGGTTATGGGTGTAGACTACCTTCTTTTTTCCCCACGGAGTGGCTGGTGGTTTCGAACTGTTGACGTTGCAGTGAGCAGCCCAGCATGTCCCCCACTGTGCCTCCAGGGCTCACAGGCACTCGGGAAAGGACGTGTGAAAACGGTAACAGCATCTTAGCCCGATTCTGAGTGGAGGCCTTGTCAGGAGCCTAGGTGGCATGGTGGTAGCGCATTCAGCCCTGGTTCCGAAGGGTCAGCAGTTCTAAACCACCAGCCGCCGCGCGGGGGAAAGACAGGGCTCCCCAAACAGTTGCAATCTCTGAAACTCACTCTACCCTGCCCTCAGAGGGTCACTGCAAGTCGGTGCTGACTGGCTGGCAGTGAGCGAGACCCAGCCAGGCTTTGAGAATTGTTGATGTACATTCTAGAACCTCCCTTGGCGGGGGCAGGCATACAAAAAAGAATGCCTGAGCGCTGGATGGCGGGTGCAGCGAGCCCGGGTGCGTGTCTGCCCTGGGGGTAAGATGCGTGTGGGATGCCGAGGGGAGACCAGGGCACAGAGCGTGTGCATGTGGCGTGTGCTTGAAAGCCAGGAACCATGGTGGGTGGCATCTTGTGGGTCATAGAAGCAGGGCCCGCGTGGCAGATGGTTTTTCGGTCGGAGGGCCTTCCCTCCTAAAGAAAATGGTAAAAAGGGGATCTTGGGAGCGCCTTCCTCTAAAGGCAGTGTAGTTTACCCTAGGGGACTTCAAAAAGTCCGTGGAAAAGTGGAATGAAAAGATAATGGACAACTTTCCACCAACCTTATTGTAGTTATATATATAATTAAAAATAGATAACAAACATATACAATCATGTATATAATAAAGATGTGTCTTTTCCTGCTAAAGAAAAACATTTTGGGGGGACCCTAAAGATAGAGTGAGCCTTAATTAGATCCTTACGTTGCCTTTGCTTAGTGGATTATGGGCCGGGGCCCTTTGGGCTTGATAGGACCTGTTAGGTGTCACCAGGGGATTAGGGTACTTTCCTTTAGGGCAGCAGAATCCCTTTATATGAGAAAGCGGATGGCTTCTCGAGACAGCTCCTGCATTTGGGCAGAGAATGGAGGGTAGGAACCTGCTAGGGCCTCTCGGCCACCAAGCCCTCTCCCAAGTGTCAGGGGCAGGGTGGCCTGGGCTGGCTGTGGCCAGCATAATCTCCTGTTTCTCTTTTGTCCCTCCAGGTAGGACCTCAGGGGTGGCTGAGCTCTTACCTGATTTTCGGGCGGGGCCCATGGAAGGTATGGGGGGAGTGGGGTGCCTGAGTGAGGCTTCTCTTGGTAATCTCTTCTAGCTCCTGACTCCCCACTTACTGCTGCCTCTGGTATTCTTCCCCATCTTGAACCCTGCTCACTGTGGGCCCCCCACTAAGCCCACCCAATGGGTAGCATGTAGTGCCCTGGCTCTGGGCTGGCGGAGGAGCTGGGTGTAGGCAGGGGCTCCGGTGACTGGTGCCTCTAGTGCTCGCCTGCCTTCTCCTGTCTCTTGTTGTCAGTAGCCGACTGGGGTCCTTCAGTTTTAGAGGGGTGTGGTCTGCTGTCCCTGCTGCGCCCCAGCCTCTGCCATGGTGAACCCAGTGAGGGCTGCAGCGCCCCCCTGCAGGCTTTGCTCAGCCCTCCGCCCAGTCCCGGCTCCCCACCACTCTGGTTCCCCGTTCCTCAGAAGCCTCAGGCTCAGGGCCTGCCCTCCTCTCTTGCAGACTGGTTATTTGTGGTTGTGGTCTGCCTGGCCTTCTTCCTCCTCCTCCTCCTCCTGGCCATCTGCTGGTGCCAGTGCTGCCCCCACACCTGCTGCTGTTATGTCAGGTGCCCCTGCTGCCCGGACAAGTGCTGCTGCCCAGAAGCCTGTAAGTGTCTCTCCCACGGGCCTGAAGGGAGGAGAGGGGGCCCTCACCTGTCTCCCAGGATCGTGTGCTGGGCAAGAGGGTGGCAGTTTGGGAGAGAGTAGGCCAAGGAAGTGCCCTGCTGTTTTCTATAATAATTTGCGTACCTGAACGTTTAATACGATTCATTTATCTTGAGGGTCTTTCGTTGAAAGTATCCATGAATGTTGTGTTTTTTTTTTAATTCAAATAATAGAAAACATTATTCACTGAAAAGAAAGCTCCCTTTAAAAACAAGGCCTCAGGGAGAGAGCTAAGAAGCCAACAAGGTTTTGTTTCAAAAAGCACACATTCCCACAAACACTCGTTGTTACACAGAGATGATGTGTCCTGGGGGCGTAGCGGTCATGCTTTGGGCTGCTCACCTGAAGGTTGGCGGTTCGAAACCAGCGCACTCTGCAGGAGAAAGAGGAGGCTTTCTACTCCTGGAAAGAGTGACCGTCTCAGACACCCACGCGGGCAGTTCTGCCCTGTCCTGGTGGGTTGCTGTGCGTCGGCATCCACCTGACAACAAAGAGGTCGGTTGGTTTTGGGGGTATGACTTGCAGATGGGACTGACTACCTGGTGCCCCGAAAATGCAGAGGGTGTGACCTGCTGGCCCTTCAACATAAAATCCCAACACAACCCAACTAAAAGCCACCACTGTTGCGTCACCGGAGACTTAGCGACTCTGTAGCGCACAGTAGAACCACCCCATTGGTTCCCAGGCCACACCTTTCTCCCACGGAGCCGAGCGGCAGGCAGGTGTGAAGCACACCCCCTTTCGCCTAGTAGCTGAGCTCTTTACCCGGAGCTCCTTCCTCCACATGAAGACAACAAGTCTTGGCCAGTGGATGCCAGTGCAGACCGGACCGAAGTGATCGAGGGAATTTCGGAGGATTCTCTTTGGCTCCTCGGTCCCGCCCGTGGAAGCAGCGATCAGGAAATCGAAACGACCCATTCCATCGGCACAAAGAACTCTTTCATGTGGTCCAAGGCTAAGATGTTTGAGGACTCAGCTGTGCCTGACCCAAGCCTGGACGTTTTCAGGCATCTCCTCTTGGTGCGATGGCTAGACAATGCATAAAGGGGGCAGAAGAATCGAGGCCTTAGACTCATGGTGGCGAAGAATCTGCAGGCACGTGGACGGCTGGACGAACAAAGGACCTGTCTTGGTAGGAGGACAGCCAGGAGGCTCTTAGAGAAGAAACCAAGGTGACGTGACTTTTCACTTTGGACAAATTATCAGGAGGGACTGGTTCCTGGCGAAGGTCCTTCTGCTTGGTCAGTGGAAAAGGAAGCGAGAGGGACTGACAGTGGCTGCGACAATGGGCTCCCACACAGCGCCGGCCGTGTGAATGGTGCAGGGCGGGGCAGCGGTTCCTTGTGGACAGCGGCACTACGAGTTGGAACCGACTAGACAGCGCCCAACAACAACGACATCCTTATGTTTGAGGAGCCCGGCTGGAGTAATGGTTGAGTTCTCAACTGCAAGCTGGAAGGTCGGTGGTTGGAATCTACCAGCTGCCCCGCCGGGGACCTGACCCGGTGATCTGTGTCTGGCAGGATGAGAGCCGAGGACACCATGGGGCAGTGCCGCTCCGTCCCAGAGCTCGTCTCTGGTGGACTAATTTGCCAGCACACAGGACCTGGGAACTACGTTCAAGGACCTAGCTAGTATGGCCCAGTGGGTCCCTGCGGATGTTTGGGAGAATGGAAGTCAGATCAGGGATGAAGAGGGTTAGGAAAGAAAAGGAGGGAGGGACCAAACAGGGAAAGCCACTCGTAGGGATCCCTGAGCTCCTTTCAAGAGTCTGGGTACAGCAGCACCTCTGGGCACAGGCCCAGGGGCACTGACAGTAACCATGAGTGATGGGTGTTTTTCTGAGCTCCTGTTACTGGGGCAGAGGAGGCCTGGCTACATGTAGCCAGGTGACGTGCTGTTTGGAAGCCAAGTGAGTGGCTTCTCTCCAAGTCTCCGTTTCCTCTTCTGTAAACTAGTGCTTCCAGCAGAGGTGTGGTCCTCGGTCCCCTCCGGATCTGGGTCTTGGTCACTATTAGATGTGGACAGCTGTGATGGGAGTGGGACCCTTTAACCAGGCCAGGCTGCCCACTAGGTGCTATACAAGTGCGTGTGTGTGTGTGTGGGGGGGGTGGGGGGGCGCGCTTCAAAGAGTTGGCAGGGAAATTCCACTTTCTTTTTAAGTGCATTTTCCCCATGAACACTTCCAAAGCCCCCTCATCCATGGGAGTTCACCATAGCCAGTGGATTTGACAAGTGGCCTGTTCGTCAAAGGATCGCTCCCTTCGAAAAGAACCCACCACCCTCGGGAGCAGTGGTGCTCAACCTCTGGGTCGCGACCCCTTTGGGGGGGGAAGGTCGAATGCCCTTTCACAGGGGTCGCCCGATTCATAACAGTAGCAAAATGACAGTGATGATGTAGCAATGAAAATAATTTGATGGTTGGGGGGTGGGGGTCGCCACGACATGAGGAACTGTATGAAAGGGTCGAGGCATTAGGGAGGTGGAGAACCTCTGCTCCAGAGGCTAATGCCAGCCCTGCCCTTTCCTTCACACCATTGTTTTAAAAGTGGGGTGCTGACTCTGCCCTTTCCCAGATGGGGAGGCACCTCCGAGGGCTGTGAGCAGGTTTACAAAGACCCCACAAAGAAGAGGCCATTGCTGTAGATGCAGGTCCCCCAAGCCACGGGGAGGGGGTGGTCCTCCCTGTGAACCCCGGTCAGAGGCTGTAATTTCCGCCCTGCCCACAGCCCCCATTAGCCCCTCAGGGTGTTTGTTGCCTCTCCCACTACCAATTAGACTTTACTAGTGAGGAGAGGCTAATGAGGACTTCCTGCAAAGTGGGGCTGAGCACGTCCTGCTAGGATCCGAGAAGAAAGGGGCTTGAGACCAGAGTGGCAAGGACAGCCCCCCGAAGGAGCACAGCTTCCTCCCCTGGGGAGGAAGGCAGCTAGCAGGCTTTGGCTTTGAGCTCCCACGAGTGGCGTAGGAAGGGGTTGGGGGCTCTAGGCTGGCGTGGCCCCAGAGTTGGGAACACTAACCAGAGATGTTTGGGTGTCCGGCTGAGGCAGTCTCTCAAGGCCTTCACTCTGGCCTTGAACTCATTCCCTCCGTAGGAGTCAAGGACCCAGCAGGCATGAGTCGGACCCAGCAGGCATTAATCGCCAGTGGGCATGGGGTCCAACCCCAGTTGGTTCCTTTTGCTTGAGTTGGGGATTGCCCTACATGACCTTGGCCTGTGGGGACAGTGGGAGGCTCAGGACCCGGGCTTCACCCACTGGGATCTTGGAAGGACCTGGGCCTGGTGTGTTCTGGTATCTTCTGATAGGGTGACCGGAGAGTTGCAATTTTACACAAAACCTTTTGATGTGGTCATCAAATGTTGGCAGGGCACCACACCAGCCACACACAACACCCTGGCCTGCTAGTGTGTGCTGCCCATTCAGAAATGTGAAGAGCCACAAAGGTGGGGCCTTGATGAAGCTGGGGTCCCTTAGCCTCAGGGACCCTGCAGAAACGACTGGAAGGGCCCAGTTACTAGGGAGATGCCACAGCTGGGGTACCCAGGAAGGTCTGACACACATCCAACCAGGACCCATAAGGCAGAGCAGAGCAGCCTAGGGCCTGGCCGCCACCTCATGCTGACCGTCTGTGTCCTAGTGTATACTGCCGGCAAAGCAGCCACCTCAGGTGTCCCAAGCATCTACGCCTCCAGCACCTATGCCCACCTCTCCCCTGCCAAGACCCCGCCACCTGCTGCCATGCTTCCCATGGGCCCCCTGTACAACGGCTACCACGGAGGGCATCCTGCAGATTTTGACAGGAACAGCTCAGGTGAGGCCTGGGGGAGCCAGGGGCGGCTGGGGGCCAAGGTTGGGCTGGGAAGCGAACAGGAGTCATGGATTTGGTGGGCAGCCACTGATGGCCAATCTCTCCCAGTTGGTGGCCACAGCTCCCAGATGCCCCTGCTTCGTGACACGGACAGCAGTGTGACCTCTGGTGAGTACGAGTCATTGCGAGCTCCTGGTACCTGCCTGGCGGGGTTGGGCGGGGTCAGCTCTCATGCTCCCAAACAGGTCAGCTTGTCACCTCTATCGACTGCCTGCCCCTAGATGTCCGGAGTGGCTACCGGATCCAGGCCAATCAGCAGGATGACTCCATGCGTGTCCTGTACTACATGGAGAAAGAGCTGGCCAACTTCGACCCTTCGAGACGCATCCCTCCTGGCGGCGGCCGTGTGGAACGGGGTGAGCTGGACCCTGGGGTGGGAGGGGGCCAATACCCCACATATTAAAGCTAGGGCTGAGGCTAGGCCTGCAGGCCCTGACAGGGGGGCCTTACTTCTGCCCTCAGGAGTCTGCAACACCCCCGACTGGGGAGGCTTTCCTATTGAGTTAAGAGCCACTGAGGGCTACCTATTAGGTGGGTTAGAAGGGCGTCCCCCCAGTGCCACAGTGAGACATGGACAGGAGCCTGCATGTCAGGTGACAAATCTAGGGTCCCCTAAGAGTCCCCGACCCACATGGGTGACACACTGCTGACCTCCCAGCGGTCAGTGACACCCTCCTCTCTACAGCTCTGAGTGAAGTCACCTCTCTCCATGAGGACGACTTCCGGTCCCAGCCTATCAGGGGCCCCACACTTACCCCAGTCCGGGAAATGGAACGAGGTCGGCGGTCCCCCCAGAATCCCAGGAGGTGGGAGCACGAGCCCCCAACCGAACAGCCCAGGGGCCGCTGGGGGGCTGGACGGCCCCGGGCCCACTCTGTAGATGCTCTGGAAGATCTCAGCCGGCCAGGCTCCCCTGAATCGAGGAGGTCACCCCCCAGCAGTGGGAGGAGAGGCCGTGCCTATGCACCCCCCAGAAGCCGCAGCCGGGATGACCTCTACTCTCAAGATGACTCTAGGGAGTCCCCCTATTCCTGGGAGCCCCACTATGATGAGCTCCGCTCTGGGAGGCGCCCGCATGCTGAGCCCAGATCCTACGATCCCCGCTCCCGGAACCCTCCGGAGGATAGCTCCAGGCCTGCGAAGCCTCTGTACGACAGGGCGCTTCTGGAAGAGGCTTTGAGGAAAAAGGGAGCCAGGGAAAGGAGGCGGCCCTACATGGACGAAGAGGAAGAGGAGTCCTACTACCGCTCTGAGCCCCCCCCTTACACTGAGACAGACTCACAGGCTTCCAGAGAGCGGAGGCTGAAAAAGGTGAGCCAAAGTCCCTGACCCTCAGGACCCTTCCTGGGCCCCTCCCCCCCAAAAACCGACCCACCTCACAGAACCCTTTCTTTTTCCATTACAGAACTTGGCCCTGAGTCGGGAAAGCCTGGTTGTCTGATAGCATGTTTTATATGTAACTTTTGTACGTTTTTGTTTTTTTCTAATTTGAGGAGGGGCTATTCATGGTCTTCCCCTTCCTGAATCAAATAAAATGTGTAATCACAGGCCTGAGACTTTTTTTTGGCTCAAGGTACCCTGTTTCCCCAAAAATAAGACAGTGTCTTATATTAGTTTTTGCTCCCAAAGATGCGCGAGGTCTTATTTTCAGGGGATGTCTTATTTTCCCATGAAGAAGGATACGGTACACATTTGTTGTTGATATCCTTATTATCAGGGGGCCTTATATTTCAGCCAGAGGCATTTCTGGGAAACCCTCCTGTGCTGGGTGGGGAGGAGAAGCCAGACTGTGTGTGTGTGTGTGTGTGTGTGTGTTAAGGGGGGTTATGCGTGAGGGGGTGGGCAAGCCGAGGCGCGTGGGGTGTGTATTGTGGCAAACACGGTGGAACACGTCCAGGTGCCCCCTGCCCCTCATTTGAAATCCTGCGCCGGATGGAAAGTACCCGGTCAGCCGGCCTTGCCCCTTTCCTCCAGCCCGGAGTACGTGCTCGACGTCGCCGCCGGCAAGCCCTGCGTGCGCGCTCCGG